GTACGATTAAAAAATGGCATGTTGCCCGCTGAAGGTGCGACTCCCTGGCTATCATGAATCAAATTATGAGGTAGAGTTCCCGAATAATTACCTATAGAGGCGGCCATGGCGGACTGAATTGGCTTGGCTGCAAGCATTGGCCTCCCTGAACCTCTGGAATAATAACCTTGAAAGTTGCCTGGATTCTTGGCCCTTTTTGCAATTGCCTTAGCCTGACCGTCTCGCCTCACCCCCCTCCACTTTCTTAACATAGTCTGTTACCTCATTAAAGCTTTTTCCTGCAGAGGTCATATGAACAGATAATACCTGCAACTCAGAATTTAGTCCCCTAATAAATAAACGGATCCTCTCCTCCTCAGTAGTCACCAATTGAGTAGCATATCTGGACAAGGCATGGAACTTGGCCTCATAAGCAGCCACAAACATACCACATTGCTCCAAAGCCATGAACTCATCCTTCTTGGGATCTCTCAAAGTCCTAGGCACATATTTCTCCAAGAATAGAGCATGAAATTGGGTCCAAGTAAGTGGAGGTAAAGTTGAAGATTTGCATTCCATGTGAGCTCTCCACTACTGCTTAGCCTCACCTTAAAGTTGAAAAGTCACGAACTCAACCCCATGTTGATGGACTAATTCCCTACTTATGAAGCCTCTCATAGCAGTCTAAGATAAACTCATAAGCATCCTCATTCTCAGAACCAAGAAACACAGGAGGCTTTAGCTTCAAAAACTTAGTCAACATTTCATGCTCATTACCAGTCATAACAGAACCCTACAAAGGACAGAAGAAAGCATCATTACCTCCCGTTCCACCCATCTTGGGGGTAGTGCTAGCAAAAGAGGGATTAGTAGGAGATTGAGTTGCTTGAGCAGAAGGAAGCACACCAGGACCAACCAACCCTTTCAGGAATGACATGATTTGTTGAGCTAACACTGGGTCTATGGGAGGAAGACTGGTAGTCTCAGCCTGCACCTCTTCCTCTTGTCCAACCTCTTCAACATTCTCAACCTAAATATCATATTCTATCTCCTCATGATGGACTGGAGGGGACTCATTTTGGGGAGCATTCCCGACCCGTACCTCATCTCTAGCAAGCGCTACCCTTCTTCGACCTCTACTCCTAGCTCTTTATCTACCCATGCCTTAATCGCGACCTCTCGCAGCAGATTCCTCAGCTGAAGCATTGACGAGAGCTACGGGTCTGACGCCATTATATCTAGTGTTAACCATTTGCGGACAGAAGAGTGAAGCAGGTTAGATACCAATTTGAATCACCAGATACCAATTGGAATCAAGTTATAGCACGAAAGAAGACAAAGGAAAGTAGAGAGATTTCCTAAAGTTCTATAGCCTCTCGAAAAAAATTAAAGGCGTCCTCGTACCGTTCCGCGAGACTCTACTAGACCCGTTTCGGTACATCGAGATCAAAAAATCTAGGCTCTGATACCAACTTTGTCACGACCCCGACGTCGTGATTGGCACCCACACTAACCCTCCGGTAGGAGAACCATTACTACAATTCAAACCAAACAACTAATCTAAAAACTAAGGCATTAAGTATAAGAAAGCTGGAAAAATACTTAGGAAAGAAATAGAGTTCCCATAAACTCTAACAAAAATCTAACAATAATAAACTAACATTGCGGAAGTAATGCCTAGAACCAGAAAGTCAATGTACCACAACATCTAACAATGAACCAAGTCTAAACAAGAAGGGATACAACCCCAAACTGATGTACTAATAACTAATAGAAATGTCTAAGTCCAAAATGTGGACATAGACGAAAAGAGAACTTATTGCAGCCCGAAAGAATTGGCTCACCCTTGAATTCGAACGACGATCATTGATCTTCTAAGCAAGGTCTATCAATAGCCGCTTGAAGATGCTCTGTACTCAACAAGGTAAGAGCAAGTGCAGTATCAATACACAAAAACAGTGTACTGGTAGGATCACGCGGCTATCCCACTAAGTGCAACATACATAAGCCATTACAACAATATAATCACATGCATATATCAAACATATACAATATTAACATATTTACGAACAAACGAACAACGAACAACTTCACATTTATATCAAATCATTGGTCCTCTCATGAAACCCAAACCCAAACAATTAGCATATTGGAATTGGTATCCGATCCAATGTTTATGCCGAAACATGGCAACTGATCCCATATTTATGCCGGAACGTGGCAACCGATCCAAGTTAGTTATGCCGGAACGTGGCAACCAATCCATTCAACACACCACAATCACAATCACAAGTATATCTTCAAAATCATACATTTAAGTCATGATTTCATGGCAATCATCATTCATCTATGTCATTTACAACAAGTGTGATCAATAGTACAACATTACTATGCATACATGTATCATAATGAAGTAAAAACAAACAAACATCACACAATCATAGAATCACAACCATCACCTACCTCGAAACAAGCTTGAAACCCTAAGAAACTTGATCCTTCCCTTTCCAATTTTTTTCCGCTTGTTCTTGGTCTACAAACAATCATAATAACACGCGAATCAATAAACAATCGCTAATTACCCGAATTACTAATAATTCTATGAACCCTAGATCAAACTCATGATCCTAACTATCTAAAATAGGGTTGTTTCCACCATAAATTCCATATCAAAACCCTTCCCCATTCTATTATGTTCTACAGATTGAAAAATGGATTCGGGGAGTGAAAAGCTTACATTTAGCAGCAAGAATGGTGGAAAACTGTCAAGAGTTGCCTGGGGTTCGTTCCGTAGCTCTAAAAAATTGAAATGTGCATAATATGGTCGTTTAAGGGTTTATTTACGGCCTTAAGTCGCGTCGAACCCGCCACAGCGGCCCTCACCCCGTTGCAGGGGCCTCGCCCTGGTGGCAAAATTCCCGCCCCATCGGCTTGCACGGAACCAGCGAGCTATTTTAATAGTTCCAAGACCCCATTTCACAACACACATCTAACCAACGATGCTCAGAAAATACCATTCACGCTATGATCGATTCCGAGAGTTCTACTCGCCCGAATTCAATTCCGTAAAGTCGTATAGATTCCTTAACGAGTTATTTATCCACCCATGTATTCAAAATCATAAATAACTCACCCAATTGATACCATATTTCCCTACACCTTAATGACTCCGATTTTGTCCAAATCTGGACTAGGTTGGGAAAATCCAAATACTGCGAAAAAGTTTTTCGGCTCCAAATTTTCCCTCGTTGGCTTTTCTATAACGACATGAACAAGTCATTACATAAAGTAATATATACAATAATATATAAATAATAATATAAAACATAAATAAAATAAGAAAACTATTATATAAAAATAAAAATCAACCAAACTTATGAGATATGTTAATTAATTAATAAGGGATATATTGATAAATATGTATATATAAGGGATATTTTAGTCTTAAAAAATTATTTTTTCTATTTCTGCTTTTGCATTTTTTTTAAAAAGCATAAGTTTTTAGCTTGCTCCCAACATCAAAACACTTCTCCTGCTACCATTTAAAAGCAGTTTTGAGAATTTGCCAACCACTTAATTTCTCAAAATAAGTGTTTTTTTCTATTAAAAAAAAAAAGCACTCCTGGCCTCTCAACAGCAATGCCAGACAATCTATAAGAGAAAGTGAAATTATAATTAGGAAATCTTACAATGTAGGCATTTGTCTTGTTAGCATCCTAAATACTATCATTTTGAGTTGATTTGGCGTACACAATAGTACCTGTTTTTTTCTTTTGGGCAATTATTTGAAATTTGAACTCTTTCGGATTATAGATATGAATAAATGGACCATGAGTCCAAATTTTAATAATAAAAAAAAAAAAAAAGCCAAATGCTTCGTGCTGGAAGAGACAATCAAAAGAAATACACGAGCCTTAATTTCAAATGTCAAACTCATGGATTCCAGGTTGAGACATCTAGTCACTTTTTAGCTTACTATAATTAAGAAATTTCAGGTTGGGATATCTAGTCACTTTTCAGCTTTGTATATTTTAAGAAATAGTTAATATTATGGAGTTTGAATTTTACGACCAAAAGTTCATAAGATAATATTCTAAAGTTTCACCTGTAACATTTAAAACTCCATTACATGAATATTTGTAATTACATGGAAGGAGTAAATTTATATATATATTGAATTTTACGACTAAAAGTTCATAGGATAATATTCTAAAGTTTCACCTGTAACATTTAAAACTCCATTGCATGAATATTTGTAATTACATGGAAGGAATAATTTTATTTATTTATATATATATATATATATATATATAAGATCATCGTTATATTAATTAATCAGTGTATTATATATGTTTAGGAGAAAAAACCCATAATGTTTAGTTAACGTTATGGATTAAACGAGCAGAATCATTATAAAACAAATTAACAAAGCATATGGTTATCTGTAATATTTTAGAAGTATTCTAAACAAAATATTAATTTTGACTAACTAGTATGCTTGAAAATTCAAATCTCTAGCAGAGCAGATAATAGAGAACTAATCCAACATGAAACAATAGTAACATATAATCATCGAACAACCACTTGGTTGGAAATAAATATAGAATTAAACTGGTTTTCTTTCATGTCACCACTTCTTCAATCTCCACAAAGAAATGATGACGACTTCTTCAACATGTCACGACTTAGCAAAGGGGCGATTTTTCTGTCAGACATATGTGATGTGCTAATTGACCCATGACTCTTCATACGAGAAGCTATTCTTTTAGTTTTCTCTAAATCCTATTATGTTATTTCCTTTATCCCTGCTTATGCCTTTGATTTTGTAATTATCTCTTCCTCATGATTCTCAACTATCAATGAAAGAGCATTGAAATTTTTCATTGGCAATAGAGGAAAGGAATGACTTGGTTATTTACAGCGAACATCTGGATTACTATGCAAGGAATCACGCCAGCCAAATTTTGGTCTTTTCTTTGCTCTAATATTGTTTTTATAGCGTTGGTTCAGAGGGGGAACTAATGAAGGAGGTGTCGAAGGGAACCTTGGCTAAGAAGGTGGGAGAGGAGACAAAGAAAACCATGGTTGAGATGGTGGGGAACAAAATGAAGAAGGAGGAGACGCAAGTGGATGCCAAGAATCCGCAGAAGGTGGATATCAATTTCTCATCAGCAGAGGGCAAGGTGGGGGAAGATATGATGAAGGAGGGGACAAAGGTGGATATTGATTTCTCATTGGCGAAGGACACAATGGCGGAGAAGATGGAGTGGAGGCAAAGGAGAAGATTGCGGATGTGTATTCAAATAATCTGATCGAGGTGGCAGACGAGGAACACTTTGGTACGTATATGATGATCTATCATTCACCACCATTGTCCTAATTTAGGCAGGATTGGAGTTACGGGGTGAATGATTACCAGAGTGTTCCCCCTCCGCCGAATTATTTGTATCCACATTCGCCCCCTCCTCCTTTATCTCTTAATCCACCTTCTCTATCACCATGCCCTTCGCCGAGGAGATATCAATATCGACCTTCGCCCCATCCTTCTTTGTCTATTCCCCCATTGTGCCCTCCGTCGATGAGAAATCGATATCCACCTCCACCATCTGTGGATTCTTGGTATCCACTTGCGTCCCCTCCTCTTTCATCTCTTCCCCCACCATCTCAACCATGGTTCTCTCTGCCTCCTCCCCCATCTTCTCAGCCAAGGTTCTGTCGGACATTTCCTTCATTAGTTTTCCTCTAAACCAACACTATGAAAACAGTCCTAGTGAAAAGAAAAGGCCAGAATCTGGTTGGCGTGAGTCCTTGCATGGTAACTTGTATGTTCACTTTAAACAACTAGGTTATTTACCTTCCTTGAGAATGAGAAATTCATATCTATCTCTGCCTCTTGCAGATTCTTTTTATCCATCTCCGCTTCTTGCGGATTCTTTGTATCCATCTCCGACCTCTCCTTCTTCATCTATTCCCCTACTGTCTCCGCCACTAGTCTTTTCACCGATGAGAAATTGTTATCCATTTCTAGGATCAAAGAGTGGGCAGAAACCATCAGTTTCTGATTCTCCTACACTGAAAAATCACAAGAATCTTAAGTTAGAATGAGATTTCAATTTCGGTTAAAAATATCAATCAATTAATTAATAAAATGGATATGTACCACTAATACTTACTAAAATTATCGGAAAAGAAAATCATTGTCCATTTTTAAGATCAACGAATCGACAAAAACCTTCTGTTCTTATTTCTCTTGCACTCAAGAACCACAAGAATCTTAGGTTAGAATGAGATTTTAACTCTAGCTAAAAATATCAATCAATCAATTAATAAAATGAATTTGTATCAATGATACTTACCAAAATCGCTGGAAAAGAAAATCACCATCCTTTTTTAGGATCAAAGAGTCGAAAAAACTCTCAATTCACGATTCTCTTGCACTCAAGAACCATAAGAATCTTAAGTTAGAATAAGATTTCAACTCTTGGCTACTAGGGTTGTGATAGAATTAATCGGAGAACTTACAAGTCGAGTAGATGTGTCACGGAAATAAAATGTCTTTGTTCTGTCTTTTTTTTTTTTTGAATTCTAAGGATGAGTCGACCCATCCTAATATTATTTATAAGAAGCTGAATGGTGATTTACCATGTGATGCCCATCGAAAAATGCAAGTTGAGCGAGAACCAGAGAGAGAATACAAAGAAAAAACGGTTCGTAAACATATACGACTCTAATACTGATAATATGTAAAGAAAAACTTATATTTAAATACCAAAAGGTTAGCCGAGAATTAGAGATAATAACGAATAAATTAAAGTCATAAATTTATTATCATGATATAAAATATAACTTCTTAATATTTATTATTTTTATTTTTAAATTTAAGTAACTCTAACTTCATTATTATTATTTTTAAAAAAAATCATAAAAAGGATCAACTCAAAATTAAATATTTCAAAAAATAATATTTTACTTTTGATTTATAACTTTGTTTAGAAAACAAATAGACAAATGAAATTTAACTTCATTTTTTTAAATTATAAAAATGATAAACTCAATATGATATTTTACTTTGGATGTATGCCATTTTTAGAAAATAAATAAACAAATGAAATTGTCATACATGTTAATATTCACCGGCTATAAGTATTTCTTTTATAAGTATTTCTTTATTTGCATAATTACATTTTAAAATTAAGTAGCTTTAACTTCATTCTTTTAAAAAATCATAACAAGAATCAACTCAAAATATGATGTTTTAGTTTTGATTCATGACTTGTTTAGAAAATAAATAAATAAATAGATGAAATTGTCATATCCGTTAGTATTCATTAGTTTTAGTATTCATTTTATCAAGCATTTATCTATTACATG